GAGGCTGTGGATGGCATTGTGTTCTGCACAGCCTAGGTTATGGGGCAAGTGATGCTGCTTTTCTACAATTTCAGCCTGTGCACATTGGCGGAAGCACTCTATGTAGAAGTCCAGTCTGTTGTTTTGAACTTTAGGAAGAGTCCACCCAGACTCCTTTTTGCAATGTTGGTAGGAAGGTCTCTGTGGGTTAGTATGCTGTTCGGAGGTGTGTTGGAAATATTCCTTGAGTCGGAGACGTCATAAATAGGATTCTAGGTCACCACAGAACTGTTTCATGTTTGTGGAGGTGGAGGGGCAGAAGGAGAGAGCCTGAGATAGGACAGATTCTTCTGCTGGGCTAAGAGTATAGCTGGACAGATTAACAATATTGTTGGGTGGGTTAAAGGAACCACTGTCATGGCCCCTTGTGGCATGTAGTAGTTTAGATAGTTTAGTGTCCTTTTTTCTTTGTAGAGAAGCAAAGTGTGTGTTGTAAATGGCTTGTCTAGTTTTTGTAAAGAGCACTTCAATCTCCCTGGTCACTCTATTACAGACCTAAGTCACAATACTACAACAAAAAAACGTCAAAAACAGACTCCAACAAGAAACTGCTGAATTGGAATTAATTTGCAAACTGGACACCATTAAATTAGGCTTGAATAAAGACTGGGAGTGGATGGGTCATTACACAAAGTAAAACTATTTCCCCATGTTTATTTTTCCCCCTGCTGTTACCCACACCTGATTGTCAACTCTTGGAAATGGGCCATCCTGATTATCACGACAAAAGGTTTTTTTCTCCTGCTGACAATAGCTCACCTTAACTGATTACTCTCATTATAGTTGGTATGGCAACACCCATTTTTTCATGTTGTGTGTGTGTGTGTGTGTGTGTGTGTATATATATATATATATATATAGACACACATCTATATTTTCCTGCTGTATTTTCTACTACATGCATCCGATGAAGTGGGTTTTAGCCCACGAAAGCTTATGCTCAAATGCATGTGTTAGTCTCTAAGGTGTGCAAGTACTCCTTGCTCTTTTTACAGTGCCATTGGTAGATGTAGTGTGATATCGAATTGATTGTTTTGACATTGTTCATAGCTTTTTATTCTATGAATATAGATAGATAGATAGATATAGATCTTTCATCCTGATTTGGGATGAAAACAAATGTTGAGATATCAAAATTACCTCCAAGAGGGGAAATTCCTTTTTTGCTCATCTCTACTTCTGCGTCTGTCTAGTTCCTTAACACATTTTAAAAAATGTCCTCACAATCCGCACCGATTTAGAAGTCAAGGCATACAGACAGCCATGGGGTGACTCCTTCAACTTCAAGTCAGGTTTGTGCCACATTGGCAAGAGGTATGGAGAAGTTTGCATTGCTGCTGTCTGCTCTCTTTCATTGTTTGGTGGGAATGGGATAACCCTCTGGTGCCATTAATCTTCCACTCTAAATTCACTTAAATATTTGTTTCTTAAAAAGGTACCACTGAGGCTGTGCCATCAATTTCCCTAATGAGAGGCTGTCAACATAAATTATAACTCTCAGGCACGTTGTGTATTATGGAGCATGCTGAAAAGTTACTTCAACAAGACTTTTTTTATTTATTTTTTTTTTTGCCTGAAACATTCATTCCCTTTCTTCCCTGGTGCCGCGCCATGTGCGAGTCACTGATTAAATTCCCTTCTTCCATTTCAAAATCTTGATGCCCTGAGTGCCTTGTTTGGGGAGCCAGTGACATTTTGATGCCCTCCGTTATATACAGCTTGCCTGGGACTTCTTTGCAATTCCAGGGCTGGCACATATAGCTGTGGAAGGGATTTCATTTTGGTTTCTTCCTCCTGATAACTCATCACACTCTGGCTGGATCTCTGAAGGAAATGCTGCTTTTATAATGAAAGGAGGGGCCTTCTGCCTGAGACATCTGAATTATGGTCACAGCGTGGCCAGCATTGCAGGGTTTCGTTATTCTAAGCTGTCGTCATAGCCATCACAATAAAAGGAAATATATAACTACCATGATGGAAGCTTTACACTATATAGTTTATCTCTATAACAGTGTGCTATGATGTACCTAATTAGACTGTATCAACTGGTCCAGGTCTGCTCCCAAAGGGAGATTTTCTTATTGTGTCTGGTCAGAGAGCTCTCTGCTTATGATTTATCACTGAAATTAAATTTAAGCATTGTTTCCCATTTGATTATCAAGCTGTAGGTGACTTTTAAAAAACGCTTTTCAATCCATTACCCTCCACTCCCCACCCATGAGCCTTCACTGCCACTGTCCCCACTCTTTCCCAAAATAAATAAAATCACACACACACACACACACAAGAGCACCACTGGAAGTTGAAAGAAGAATTGAAGGGTACCAATTAGAGAGAATAAAATCATTGCTACTCAGAGCTGTTCTGCCTCCTTTCCTTACCTCGCTGCTGTTTTACTTCTGACGTGCACAGTCATTGATGCATGATACATGTGAACAGTTGGAATATACGAAAAGGAGCCGTCCCCACACACACAGACATTAGATAAGATGATCCAGCAGGTGTTTCCCATCTCTGAGTCTAACGATCATCCAATTTGTGGGAGTTAGTGGGGTGAGTTCTTCAAGAAAATATTTAGAAAACTACCTTTTAACTTATTCCATCCTCTAACCCAGTGGTTCTCAACCCGTGGCCCATGGGATGCTCGCAGCCAATCAGCACACAGCTGCGGGCCATACAGGTAGTATTGGATGTGGCCCACATAACATATCATTGGTCGCATATGCAGCCCACAATGGTATCTATGTTGAGAGCCTCTGCTCTAACATATTCTATTTAGAACTTCTTAAAAGAGAAAAGTGACCTATTTTATTTCTGTGTTAGCACCTAAGGACCCCAGTCAAAGATCACCACACAAATAATTTAAACACCACACAAATAATACAAAGGCAATTTGTGTTCCGGAGAGCTCACAATCTAAGATTTAAACAAAGTGTGACAGGTGAATAAACAAAGAGGAGCTGGTGGATCTATGTATACTTAATCCTTCCTCAGCAAAGCGGGATAGACAAGATGATCTCTTTAGGGCCTGTCAAGGTTCCTTCCCCACTCTGAACTCTAGGGTACAGATGTGGGGACCTGCATGAAAACCTCCTAAGCTTATCTTTACCAGCTTAGGTTAAAACTTCCCCAAGGTACAAACTATTTTACCTTTTGCCCTTGGACTTTCGCTGCCACCACCAAACGTCTAACACCGGTTACTGGGAATGAGTCCGTTTGGAAATGTCTTTCCCCCCAAAATCCTCCCAAATCTTACACCCCCTTTCCTGGGGAAGGTTGGAAAAAATCCTCACCAATTTGCATAGGTGAACACAGACCCAAACCCTTGGATCTTAAGAACAATGAAAAAGCATTCAGTTTCTTAAAAGAAGAATTTTAATAGAAGAAAAAGTAAAAGAATCACCTCTGTAAAATCAGGATGGTAAATACCTTACAGGGTAATTAGATTCAAAACATAGAGAATCCCTCTAGGCAAAACCTTAAGTTACAAAAAGACACAAAAACAGGAATATCCATTCCATTCAGCACAGCTTATTTTCTCAGCCATTTAAAGACATCAGAATCTAATGCATATCTAGCTAGATTACTTACTAAGTTCTAAGACTCCATTCCTGTTCTGTCCCAGGCAAAAGCATCACACAAACAGAGAGAGAGGCTTTGTTTCTCCCTCCCCCCAGCTTTTGAAAGTATCTTGTCTCCTCATTGGTCATTTTGGTCAGCTGCCAGCGAGGTTATCCTAGCTTCTTAACCCTTTACAGGTGAAAGGGTTTTTCCTCTGGCCAGGAGGGTGTTTAAAGGTGTTTACCCTTCCCTTTATATTTATGACAGGGCCCTTCCAGCCCTCTATTTCTGTTATTCTAAGGCAAGATAATGGAACATAAATAGACCGTTGTTGAGAAGACTTCCCCTTTCCTTCTTCCCAGGTTTGGAAGAAGCTCACAGTTTGATGGACAAACAATCTAAAGCTTGACTGGTCAGATATCTCCAGTCAAAGAAGCTGGGGTGGGGGTAGAGACACAGGTTGTAGTTGTTTTGTAGTAACTTGCTGGGAAAGTGTCCTGTGCATGATAAGCAGTTCTTGTGCCACAGTGACTGGCAGCCTTTCCGTATACTCCAGTAAGGGGGAATAATCTGATCACATTGCATGCATAACTAGGATATTGCAACATTGGCCTGTTGCATAATGAGGTTTTTTACTTTCCTTTACCATTCTACCATGGCAGGCAATGGCCCCTGCAGTTGATAGGCTGTCCCGCTAGATGGACCAGTGATCTGATCCACTGTGGCAGCTCTGAATTTCTAATGCTTTCTAAAGTGATACGATGTTTGGATTGTTCATCTGGGCCTCAGCGTAATTGCCTTCGTATGTCTGGCTTTGAGCAAGCGGGGAGTGCCAGGTGGTTATTCTCCAGTGTGAATGCAAATGGGGGGTTACTCGGGGATGCGAGCCAGGTTAAGTGCTATGTGTCATCCTCTGCAGTTGGAAATCCCAAGTCCTTGTGTGCCCCTTACTCTGGATGCATGGTACCAAAGGGGAGCATGAGGATTTAATCATGGTCCACAGTGTGCTTAGGAGATCTTGGTTCCACACTCCACTCCTTGTCCGCATTGCTGCAACTTGGTAGGAATAAAATGTCAGTCCCATATCAACAGCCCCATTAATGTCGGAGTGGGTTCCTCTCTGCTCCGCATCCTGCTCCATGCTTTTACCCAGCATGGATAAATGCAATGAGGCGGAATCACCCCCCCCCGATGAGCACGTGCTGGACACAGTTTCCTGTTATCGTGAGAGCCTGGGGAAAGGGATTCATTCTATTCCTGGGAGAGTATCCCACTAGGGAAAGGGAGTCTGCAGCTCCCTCGCTGGAAAAGCAAGAAGCTGAGCATTGTTCTGCATCCTGCTCCTAAGCTGATCCACACCGAAGCTCTGTACTTAACGCAGGGTTGTCTTTCGTTTGCAGGGTGTGCCTTCCTAACATACTGCGAAAGGGAGTCTGCCCTGAAGGCCCAGAGTGCGCTGCATGAACAGAAGACACTGCCAGGGGTGAGTCCAGATTGCTGTTTTCATCTGCATTGGGTTGTATATTACGTTCCCATTTGGGGGTATGATGATTAATGACTGTTGTTGCTCGGATGAGTCCATATTTGCATGGGGCTATAAAATCAAGGTGCCACAATCCAGCCTAGATGTTTCCAGACGTAGCAAACCTCAGCTTGTTGTTGTATCCAGAAGCACACAGCGGAAAATAACCCATTTGGGGCTGGATTCTGCCACCCTTTGTCATGTGAGAAAGAGGCTTTAGGGCTCAGCCTTCTGATTCGTGCATGGACATGTGTGTATGAGGTAACACCTCCACTTCCCCGCCCCTCCGCCCCTCGACAAAGCAAGGCGTGGTGGCAAAAAGAAACGGTTTGAATTATTGAGTTATCACAGACTGAAAACATATTCTTCATGACAAAGTGGTTTGACTCAGTTGCTTTAGTATTCAAGCAGCTGTAGCAGATTGGAAAGGCAGTGAGACAAGGAGAAAAAAGAGAGAGAGAAGAGAAGAACATGAGATAATGAGGAAAATTATTCACATGAGCAAGATCTGAGGTTCAGACAACACAAGCAGAACTAAAAATAGAAACATCACTCTGAGGGGAAGACCTGGCCTGCAGGGGCGGATTGAGACCGGTCCTTGGGTTTCTCAGGCCAGTGGTAAGGATTGGGGGTGGGGGAGACATGGGTGTGGTTGGTGTACAGGGACAGGGAGAAGCACAGTGCAGATCTGATTGCAGCTGGAGGGAGTATCTCTGCCTGCTCTGTCTCATGTGGATAAAGGATGAAGGACTCAGGAGGGACAGAGATGTGTCCATAAAGGTCAGGGGGCAAGGGGTATGTGTAGAATGAAGAGGCTGGGAGGAAAGGTTTACCCATAAGTCTATACACTCAGAGTTTTGAACAAGGACTGCATTACTTTAATCAACCCCTGTATGCAAGCTGGGAGTTGCTATCACTAGACTCAAGTTACTCTCAACTGCTGAGAAATTGTTGTTTCTCCTGATATTTCCATGGCCCTGTATCAGTCTCTAGAACTTACCTATCTTTTCATCCCCTTACCAGTGCAGATGCCCACACACTCACTCGTTCGGTGCGATCTTTGTCATAACGGGTGTGGTTTGTGTGTGTATGTATGCGCGTTGTTCACTAAGAATACCTTCACGCCTGGTGACAGCTCCAACAAACTAGTTCTTCTCAAAAATATGAGTGGCTCTGGTTGCATTGTTGCTACTAAGGGGTGATTCCTTCCTGTTTATTTTCTTTTTAAATCCATGCCGTCTCTGTGCCTGGGCTACCAACTAAAGAGTGTGTGTGTGCACATACTCACAAAAGACAGATATTTAGCTTAGGGATGTTTCAAATAACAGCTTCTTTGTTTATATGTTATTGAGCATGTTTTAGAGGCATACGCATGCAAAAACACAGGGATCAAGATTTTCAAACCTGAATCCATAATTAAGTGGCTAAATTGGGGTCCTGATTCTCAAAAAAGGTTGTTTATTTAGTAGAGCCATTCACTGGGAGTTGTTGGATACTCAGGAATTGAAAAGCAGACTATTTTAATCATGCCCAGAGCTCATATCATTCCCATGAGGTCAAAGTCATGTCTCAGTGAGGCTGGTGTAAAACTGGAATAACTCAACTGAAGTCCATGAGAGTTGCTGGGTGCTCAGCACTTTTGAAAATCAGGTGAAAAATTATTTGCCTAAATATGGAGTTTGAGAGCCTGATTTTAGACACCCAGATTTGTATTTGTGGCCAAGGTGTATGTCTGTATGTCTATATAAACAACAAAGCTCTGAGGGTGAAATCCTGGCTCCATTGAAGTCAATGGCAAAGCTTGTGTTGATTGCAACAGGGGTAGGAGTTTACCCTTAAGGTTTTATGTCTGATACTATGAGGGTCTGAGTACCTCTAGCTTTTATCAATTCAAATTCTGACCTCATTTGCAATGCTCTAAACCCAGACTAACAGCATTGACTTCAGGAGAGTTATTCATGTTTAACACTGGCTGTAATAGTGATCAGAATCTGACCCCGAGGGCAATGATGAAGGCTCTGTGCTGAAATAAGTGACCAGAATTTCAAATATACTGAGCACCCACCAGAGCCTTTGGCTTCAATTCCAATTATTCCTCTTGGGATCAAGCCCTTCTTTCTCCCACCCAACCTGGCTGCAGACACCTTTCCATCAAGTTCCTGAACTCATCCTCTGGATGATGTTTCTCTAGTTTGTTTCAGGGAACCAGCCTTGTCTTTGATAAGCTCTCATGCCAGGATATTATTTTATGGCTCCTATGCAAGTAGCAGGGGAGTATTTTATGACATACCTAACTGGGCTTGATGACATGCACTGGCAATATTAAGCATAATTCATCACCATAAAATGAGAAGCATGCCTTAGGTCAAGGGTCAAAGTCCTCTCTGACATGAGTTTACAAACAATACATATATAACACATTCCCTTCACCTGCTAGTTTCTGTGACACAAACAATACTACTGAAGAAGCATGAAAATAATTAACAAGCCAGGTATAGAAAGGGGAAAGTAATACATACAGTAGATCACTGAATTGAGGCTTCCCCCCCAGTAAATTATACAGTACTTGCTCTTGTATTACTACTGCATGCATATTTGCTGTTATAAAACATAGAACTGAGTCATTTGTAATAATATGCACATAAATGCAAATGTATGGAAATGATGAGGCACCAGAATTTTGTGCATAGATCCAAGCTCCTGCCTCTCAGCTGTGTATCACTGTGTTTTTAGTGGAGTGGTTACATGCACATATTTTACAGTAATTACTTTCTGGATGTGCTTTGTAAGATGACAGAAATATGTTTCACATATTTTCTTGTTATATGTGAGATATAAAGTCATCTTGTGGAATAATCAAAACACTTCTAAGCAGGTGTGTGTTGATTAATAAAGTCTTTATGGTCCATTTTTTAGGGGGAGAGTTGTGATAAATATTTTGCGGGAAGTAGAACGTAATGTAAAATATCAACTTGCTTGTGAAATCTTCTTCAGTCCACTGCTTGGGACAGTTTGAAAGTGTCTTCTGCCTAAAACTGAAGGACTGGGTGTGCGTTAGAACACTATTGTGAGTGCCAGGCGATTCAAATTTTAACATTTACTTGTGATTGTTTATTTTACATATAATAGAATAGCTGGATGATGAAGTATATTAGTTTTTTAATAATTTATAGAAATGCTTTGATGTTGCAGTAATTACATTAAAGGTCACATATCAAAGGTAATTTGGGTGAGCAGCTGTGATGGTTTCTCAGAAGCAATCAATATTGCTGTCCGTGGTGCTGATTTCACCAAGGGGACTGCCAGATTAAAGGAGGCTTATTACCAGCCAGACAGACACAAGGGAAATCAAGAACAGATTGGAGAGATGCACTATTCTCTTTCCCCGCCTATAATTAACACTGTTCACCATAATCTGTGCTAATCCTTCATGCTGGGAAAACCACTAGCATTTTTAGACATCTCAAAGGCAAATTAGGCAAGGTGGAATATTTTAATGGGAGGGGGATGGGAGAGAATACAAAATGTAAAAGTTGATTCCCCCTTGGGAATTCTGAGCCTGGTAAATCTCCCCATGATGAAAGTTCAATGTAAGAAATGCAGTCCATAATCTAGGAGAAAGCAAAAATATGACCCCAACAATGACAGTGCAGGGGACATGAGAATTATGTGCCTGCCCGCTCGGTTTAATATTAGCTATTGGCCCCGCAGAGCTCCATAGGAAATGAAATTAGGGAAATAAAATTGTTTTAAGTTAGTCATTTTGATTACAAATTATAGCAAAGTCAACTTTTCCCCCTTTCTTTCTTTCTTTCTTTCTTTCTGAGGCTAACGTCAGAGGATAATGCTGAGAAATGTAATTAGGCTATCAAGATCGACTTTTATTTATGACACAAATAAACTGAGCTCATGTATGATAAGCACGGTTGCATTTTTTCTCTGTTTCTTTGTGGTTTCTCAGACACAGGGACTGAAGGGGCTGTTGGTTGTGGGGGGCTGCCTGTTTTCTATAAAATCAGAACTCACCAGCAAGGCTCCAAAGAATAAATATAAAAAGGAATAGCTGGCAAACTGTTAACCTCCAAAATTTTAGGTGCCTTCCCAGACTTTGAAATCCATCAAAAATTATTTTGTCATCTTATTGAGAGGGGAGAAATAGTACTGCAGCTGTATTATATTTCTCAGCAACTTACAGAGTTTCTATTTTGCTTCTAATAGCACCCAATCTGTTGCTGTCTTTATGCCGCCCAAACCAACCTATGCCATTCCGTATTACATCTAATTGAGTGTTTCTGTAAAACCAAAGGAGGGTAAATATGTGTTGCAATAATATCAGGAAACTGGGGAATGTCAAGGTGCTCTGAAGCTCCTTTAAAATTGGAAGGAAACGATAGCTATTGAATCCAGAGGCGTGGTTCCTGTTTCATAATTTACTGAAATTCTCATGTGTGTTACCAATCATGCCTTGATGAAATGCATGTGCATGTTACCAATCATGCCTCCATGAAATTCATCATGTGTAAGGAGTGAAATTCAGCCCTTAGTTACTGAAATCCTCACAACAGGGCTTAAGTGAGACTCAAGTAGTGCGTAGACCTTGCAAGGGCCCTGTGCACAGGGTATGAATTTCATCCAGTCTAGTAGGCTGTGCTGTAATTTTACAATATTAATTCACTTTTTAATGCTTCAGTGGGTTTCCTAGAAGCTTGTTAGGAAACTATGAAGTTGCATATTGCCCTGCACACTGCATTAGGCCAAAAGCTGGATTTAGATCCCCCCCACCGCCCTGAAAAGTTTTCACTACCAATGTAAGTTGTAATTTGGTCAGCAGTGGCAGGCTGGAAGGATTCCATTGATTAAAGTAGCCCTCTGAACATACAAGCTGCTCACCATGCCCTTTAGATTTTGAAAGAAAACACATTTAATTGTTCCCCTGGGAGAACTATGCCTGTTTCCAAAGT